GAGAAATTAAGCTAGCTGCCCACACTCTTCTGTGCAATAGTATTATTTTCACCTCAGTAGCAAAACCAGACTTTAATCCATCCCCCTGTATGCATAATTCATGGCAGAGCAAGGCAGAGGTACAAATATATAAGTATAGTTTAACATCTAGATTCTGATTTTTCTTGTAACTGAATATTTGTCCATTCAGAGTAACAGGCTCTCTGCCAACAAGTATTGTTCTTTGTAGCTCCCAAATAAACCTCCATTGACAGTGACAATTTGAAAGTGCTTTCCTTTGCATGTTAGAACCATCCAAGGAAGATCAAGCCTTTGGGGGTTGTAGTATTCAACATGGGCTGCCTAAATCCAGAGTAATAATCAGTTACATGCATTTGCTAGCCAAACAGAATGACATTTTGAGTACAATTCAACTTTTGTGCCAATCACTTGGCACTACTCCATTCCCAATAAATAGGTTATCGGTGTAGAAATGGAATTCACACAAATGTTAAACAAATGTCTCTGCTTATTTTTTGCCATTGCTTCAAGGTACATAACCGTATGAATTGTGTACATCTTGTGATTACAGTCTGATCACAGGCCAACATGGATTCAGTTGGTGCTGCTTCTGGTGCTCTTATGCTAAGCTGGCTTGCAAGAAGCAATCAGCTATCCTTTAAATAGAGATGCTGTAAGTTATAAACATTAGAGAGACCATCAGAAACATGTGAAAAAATGGATCAATAGTGTATTCCACAGCTTGCATTATATAAACTACATGAGAGAAGCTGTGCTCTAATTAAAATTTGTGAAGAGAAAAATGTGCCTGGTGTGTAGTGATGTTTCCTTGTATGCCTCTGGAAATGCAATAGAGCCAAAAGACAACATATGTTGTATCTTAATAGTAGCTCTCTCTACAATCAGTCAGGTAAGTTAGTTAGAGATGCCCAAACCTTGATGGAGGGGATTGGTCTACATCTCTCAGAATTTCCCCCCCAAACAGCATGGAATGCTGGCTAAGGATCTTGGGCACTGTGGTTCCAAATTGTAACTTTTCTAAACTGAAGTTGATCCGATGCAACAAGTCAATTAGAAGGAGGTGTTCATGTTGTTCTGCCAGTGCAAACGAATCCCCCCTCCTCCTGATTCTAGTTTACTTTTTCAATTATCTGTATCAGAACATTATCAGTGTTGTCAAGGCTGGGAATCATGTGTTCTCCAGCGATCGATGGACTGCCAGTAACGCTAGCCAGTATAATCAGTGGGGAGGGTTTAGGGGATTCCCAACCCTCATGTAAACACATAACCTCATCTATAACCTGTTCAGAGAAGGAAGAGGCTTAAACAAGTGGGAAACACTTGAATACTTAAATGGATGTTCATTAATTGGAAAGCATTAATTGTACAACATGTGGATATATATGTCATATGTCCACTGAACTTCCTAAAATGAAGGATATTTGAGACATCTCCATGCAGTTCCCACGTGTATCAGCGGTCAAGAAGTAGAAAATCAGAAAAACCCATGAAAGTAAATAGAAAAGACAGGAGCTGATTAGAAGTTTTTGATGCGAAAACTGTGAGTCCCATTCTCAGGATGCAGTTAGCATTCAGAGATTAGGACACTCACCCTAAACATAACCCTAACATTGGAGCCCCCAGTGGCGCAGTGGGTTAAGCCCCTGTGCCAGCAGGACTAAAGACTGACAGGTTGCAGGTTCGAATCCGGGGAGAGGCGGATGAGCTCCCTCTATCACCTCCAGCTCCTCATGCGGGGACATGAGAGAAGCCTCCCACAAGGATGATAAAAACATAAAATCATCCGGGCGTCCCCTGGGCAACGTCCTTGCAGACAGCCAATTCTCTCACACCAGAAGCTACTTGCAGTTTCTCAAGTCACTCCTGCATGACAAAAACAAAACAAAACCCTAAAATCATCAGAAAAAGGTATATCAAGAAGTCAGGCAATTCAAGAAGTTTGCTTGTTCCTAAGCAGGCTTTTCAGATTCAGTAGCAGACACGTCACACTTTCTATTAAGCATAGTTAGGATTGCAACTCTGCAACTATAAATAAGTATACAGTCCAGATTAGCGGCACAGTCCACCAAGAGTCTAATGTCTAACTCCAGAGCCTTTCAATCCATAACCCAAAAGGGACCAGATGTAACAGTCATGATCCAAGACAAACAAGATCCTATTTTAAAAAGAGAGCCAGAATACAGATGGGTAGAGTAGGGGGCAAGGGGCAATGTGAGGAGAGGGTCAAGTTTTAACTGAATCAGGATCCTGGGACTTTATCAGGAGCCAACTTATGAATTGTGCATTGTCCCATTTATGTTTCTGTTCTTTTCCTACATTGCCTACATTCTATGGGATCTTATATTTAAAAAATGTTGTGCTCAGATCTTTCCTGGCTTCTACTTTGCAGTCACATCACAGTTAGCCAGTCTTGTGATCACTGGATGCCCAATTCGTTTTTTGTTTTTGTTTTTTTCATTCCCCACAATCATTTATTACCACTATAGGTAATGGTCCTATGGCTACATATAATCACCCTTCAGTAGGGATCGGTCTCTTCATAACTGAAAAAATAAAAGAAAATTAGAATTTGCAAATATATGTGTCAGGCATGTTGAACCTTTTCTCCTTTTCTGAAACACTTATTTCTACAATAATTGATATGATGTTATAGAACCTTTAAATGACATCTCTGCATCCCTCCATGCTTGCTAGCAGTAGGCTTTTTTCTTCTTTAATGTATTGTGATGTCTGAAGTGCAGGGCAAGGCCATAGCTAAGGTATTATACAGCTTAAAGGTAAAGGTAGTCCCCTGACATTAAGTCCAGTCATGTCTGACTCTACGGTGTGGTGCTCATCCCCATTTCTAAGCCGAAGAGCCAGCGTTGTCCATAGACACCTCCAAGGTCATGTGGCCGGCATGACTGCATGGCGCGCCGTTACAGCTTATACAGCTTAGGCCCAGCCTTTTTCTTTAATTACAGCTTAGGAATGACAACTTTTATTTGTTTACAGTGTTTTAATACATTATTGTTTTGGGCTGCTTCTAGATACTACATATTTTATTTGAACTAGACTTCCTGGTAGCATCAGCTAAGCTTTTCTCAGGTTTAGAAAAAAATCACAAATCAAAACTGGTATCTTGTTCAGTATTTGTGATGCTCTAAGATAGCACCTTTGCCATGGTCACAAATGCCTCTAAAACCCACCTTAAAAGTTAGACAGCTTCACCACCTGGAGTTCTGCAATGTTGGCATGTAGGGTGTTGAGGAGTGACACATCGAGACCTTTCCACCAGTGAGCCACATTGCAACACGCAGTTAGGACACAACTCCACAAGTTACTGGTAGGAGATTAGACATGTAATCCTTTAACACTCTGTTCACCAGTCTCACAGAAGTCTTTTTGTTGGTGTAGCTACTTGGGTTTTAAGGTGAGTTTTCAAAGATGGAATTGGGAAACAGGTTACACTTTGTCACCTCAGGGACATCTCCCACCCAGGATTTCAGTCAACTTTTCTTCTCAGAATATCATGGCACATTTTCAACAACCTTGCTTTCTACAGACATTCAAATGTAAAATATTTGTTGCCACTGAGTGAAATAAATACATTGTCGAAGGCTTTCATGGCTGGAATCACTAAGTTCTTGTGGATTTTTTCGGGCTATATGGCCATGTTCTAGAGGCATTTCTCCTGACGTTTCGCCTGCATCTATCACCTCTGAGGATGCTTGCCATAGATGCAGGCGAAACGTCAGGAGAAATGCCTCTAGAACATGGCCATATAGCCCGAAAAAACCCACAAGAACTTAATAAATACATTAATTGGGTGAACTTGAACTTGAAATAAATGAATTGAGTAAACTTGAGGAGGCTCTGCATTGATCCCCTTGCAACCTATGACATTAATAACCACGTTTTTAAAAAAAATGAAAAAGTCTTCCAATCCCATTCACAATTTCTATAAAATGTCCAAGTTTGCAGTTTGCATTAACAAATGCATTCCTGTTGCTAGTACTGCATTTTTTTCCTTAACGTTTGATGTGGAGGGAGAAAGTGGACTTTACTCAGAGCTTCTTTTCCTGTATACTGCAATATTGATAACAATCCCAGTCTTCTGTGCCTACTATTTAGTTTTTAGAAACATAGTTGCTGACTATGTTAATTTTACATTATTTCTCTGGAGTAAATTGGAAGCAAGAGATGAAGAAAAGCCTAGATCACTCTGACAGGTCTTCTGACCTTACACCCCTCCCAAAATGCATACATATCTCCAGGCCTGTAGCCGGTTCAACCCCCCCCCCCCCCCAAATTTTTCAGGTTAAAAAAAACCTGGTTTACTCATGAATTTTAACTGGTTAACCAAATCCCCATGCTAAATCTATGAGACGCAAAAAATTAAGAGTCCCTCCAGAACTGCAAGCACTATCTCAAGCAAATATTGACAATTTATTCACACTGTCATTACTTGCAGCAGAAAGGAGATTCCATCTGAACATGAGGAAGAACTTCCTGACTGTGAGAGCCATTCAGCAGTGGAACTCTCTGCCCCGGAGTGTGGTGGAGGCTCCTTCTTTGGAAGCTTTTAAACAGAGGCTGGATGGCCATCTGTCAGGGGTGATTTGAATGCAATATTCCTGCTTCTTGGCAGGGGATTGGACTGGATGGCCCATGAGGTCTCTTCCAACTCTTTGATTCTATGATTCTATGAATATCAGTTGCTTCTGAACCATAGCAAGAGAAAGCTGATGTTCTCATGCCCATCTGGAGGCCAGACTTGGTGGAGGTGGTTGACAGGGGCGGAGCTGCAGGCTATTAAAGGCTGCTCTGCCCCCTGCTGTGCTCTTTGCTTCAGCGTGACCCTACCCCCCCCCCCCCAGTTTTCAACCCCCCCCTCACAATTTTTTAACCCTCCCCGAATTTTTTTTTCTGTCTACGGCCCTGCATATCTCCTATCACACCTGAGAGTGATGATGGCCTGCTTTCTTTTCTGCTTTCAGAGCTGGCTGTTGCCCAGTGCACACAGCGCCCTGTTGATGTGGTCTTCCTCCTGGATGGCTCTGAGAGAATTGGTGGACTGAACTTCCACAAAGCCCATCATTTCGTGGAAGATGTGGCTCGACACCTCACCTTGGCCAGAAGTAACAGTGACAACATGAATGCTCGTATTGCCCTCCTGCAGTATGGAAGTGAAAATGAACACGCAGTCGCTTTCCCACTGACGTACAACATCACTGAGATCTCAGATGCCTTAGCTCAGATCAAATACTTGGACTCTTCTTCCAACCTGGGGTCTGCCATCATTTACGCTATCAACAACCTTGTCATCAACCCACGGGACAGGCAGAGGGCCGCCCGTCGCAATGCCGAGCTTTCATTTGTCTTCATCACAGATGGCATTACAGGCAACAAGAACTTGGATGAGGCAATCGACTCCATGAAGAAGCAGAACGTTATGCCCACAGTAGTAGCCTTAGGTAGTGATGTGGACATGGATGTCCTGCAGAAGATTAGCCTGGGAGACCAGACAGCCATTTTCCGGGAGAAAGACTACTCTAGCCTCTCCGAGCCTGGTTTCTTTGACAGATTCATTAGGTGGATCTGTTAGCTTTAGGGAAGTACTAAAGATAGTTTGTACCAAAGTTAGTGGCAGGGAAGACACCAAAGATAATAATGGCCTTAAATAATTATATGAGGTTTTTAAAGCTAATGCAGTTTGCCTGAGGGCAGCTGTCACAGATCTGCAAGGGATTTATTTTTATAGCCAAACTCTCATAGGCTTCTTTTAAATCTTGTGTCAAATTCATGTTAATGGTGCTAATTAAAAACAAAAGTGGAGTAAGGATCCAGGGGTACACAGTGTAATTTATCACTTCAAAACACATTCTTTTAAAAAAGTTTGTACTGTAATCCTATATGTACTAGAGAAACAACAAAGCATTCACACTGAGCACAACAACCAGTCATTTCTCACTGCTTGAGGGGTTCACAACAAATAGACCCCTTACATTTCCTAGGCATCTGTTGCCAGGACTTTTTTTTTTTTTTTTCTGGCAGTCAGGGCTAATTTTATTTCTACCCTCAATTTCTTGCTTCCTTTTCAAGAATACACATCCCACATTCTGTAAGTAGCTGTGTTAGTCTTCCACTTTTTCATAGATGGAAACAGTGACAGGAAGATTTTGGTGGGAGGAGGAAGTCCTGGCCTTTCGACACATTGTATTAACAAATGAATGATTGGTCCTCCAGCCTTGTTTTTCATATAGTTGCTTCCAAATTGCAACAACAAATGGGTTCTTACATGATCCAAGTTTGAGTACATGCCACTAGATGACAGCCAAAAGGCAAGAAAAGGAGGCTTGTGGCATGCAGGTACCCAGCACTGATATGATACTGCTTCCAATGCAAGTGGCAGCTATTTTTAACTGGTAATAGACCAAATTGGGTCGCTTCCTAGTTCCCTTGCCACGATACAAGATATGCCACAGTGCCATCTGATTTATGGCTTACAGAAGTCCTCTTTCAGAAAAAAAAAAGAAGACGCTGGTATGAAAGCACACCTTGTTGCCTTGCCTTGGATACTTCTTTGCTTTCCCCCTATCAGTCAATGCAGAACTATTTTAACTAATGTATTGTCGATGGCAACTAAGCTATATGCAGACTTTTTTCTTTACACTGCAGTGGTTTTGCCATGTAGCCAACCTTGCCATAGAAAATATTGTGCCTTCCTTTTATTTGCTACTAACCAGCTTTCTCTTGTATTGAATACAGAGCATGCCTCCTTCTCTGAGGCAAGAGTGTGGAATGTCAAACTCGCTGCAATGCAAAAAGCCATTTAGATTAATGTGCAGCCAAACTGCAATTTCAGTGTATTCTCGGGATTACTGTTTCTGGAATAACATCCTTACTTGAGCCAAAATTGCACTCATGGTAAATAAAAGTTTTCACACTACCTTAAACATAGTGTTGTTTCTTATTTTGCAGTTATATATTGGGTCTATTGTGGTGCTAAAAATACAATGACCTACTTTTTTCTGTTTGTAAGGTAGGACTTTGTCACAAATGGGAGGCAAATCAGCAAAGCCTATCACATGATGCTGCATGCATCCCATTGCACTATCCTTAATGGTGAGGCATGGAGGTCATCACTTCATCTTGTGTTGCCCCTGTCCCACATCACCAGCTGGCCAGCAATCACATGCATGGAAGGGAGGTATGCACAGCCCAGAACTGGAGTCACACTTCCCTTCAATCTATGTGATCGCCGGCTGGCTGATGATACAGGATGGGGTGACGCAAGGCAAAGCAATGGCCTCCATGCCTTGCCATTAAGGACCACACCGCCTGCCGCTAGCCATCTGATGAGGTCCTTTGGTAGGGTTCTCCCACTCTCCCCCACTCCATTCCCAAGCCACATTTTTTAAATTATTAGTTTACCTTGTTGAGAATTGTGAAATTGTTTACAAGTGCAGGACCACAAACTGGCAAACTAGAGCAATAGCACAAATGGAGAGACACCATTTGTGGATGCTGTATCGGTGATCACGTGACTGCTGTAGATTAGCTGCTTCATGTGGTAAAGTCCTAAATACATTCTACTCCTGTGAAATGTAGATTTCTGATGTGTAATTGAAAAGGCCACGCCAAAGTCTTTGCTAAAGTGGACTTCTAAATTATATGAAGCGATATAATTAATGGCTAATGGAAAATATAACCTTTCTGCTGGTGTACCGTGCACCTAGCGCACCAGCAGACAGCCTATCCCAGCTGCTTGAGACTGTGTTGGAGTGGTCCTTGAGGTACCCCAGACTTATTGTCTTGGGAGATTTCAACGTCCACGCTAATGCAGACTCTTGTTCATTAGCGGCTATGGACCTAGTGTCTACCATGGAGACACTAGGACTCTCACTTTGTAGTACTGGGCCCACGCATTGGGCGGGACACACGCTAGATTTGATTTTCAGCGCAGAAATTCAAGTGACCCAAGCCTCCATGATAGAGGTTCCATGGTCGGATCACTGCGCCCTGAGAGTCCAGTTGGAGCATGCCTACCCACCCTGCAAGGGCGCCGAGCCAATTTGGGCTCGCCCAAGGAGACTTATGGAACCCATAGGTTCCGGAATGCTCTGAGGGATCTGGAGCCTGCCAGCAACTCGATCGATGTGCAGGTGGACACATGGAACATCAGGCTATCCAATGCACTCAACAAGATTGCCCCTAGACGCCCTCTTCAATCCCACCAAAATCGGTCTCCTTGGTTCACCGAGGAACTTCGACTGATGAAGCGGGAAAAGGGACAACTAGAGGGCATGTGGCGAGAACTCCGTGACGAAGCATCAAGATCAGCTTATGAGGCATTTAGGGAGTCCTATGAGCATGCTATCACCGAGGCAAAGCGAGTAAATTATGCTTCTTTGATAGCGTCTGCTAGCTCACGCCTGGCAAAATTGTTCAAAATAATTCGATCTCTAACGACGGTCCCTACCGTCCCAAAGAGTGGTGATCAGGCCCCTTCAGCCGAGGTTTTTCAGAGCTATTTTGCAGACAAGATCTCGCTACTTCGCCGGGACCTCCCAGCCACAATTGATACAGTAAGAGAACTTGAGACTCCGTGGCCACTTGCTGGGCCCATCCTCGACCGGTTCATCCCACTGGACGCAGGGGCTGTTGATAGGCTCATAGCTGCAGCTAGACTGACCACTTGCTCCCTCAATCTGTGTCCCTCTTGGTTGGTGAAAGCCTGCTTGGAGGGATTACGTGAGCCTCTGTTGAAGATTATAAACAGCTCCCTTGAGCAAGGAGTTTTTCCAGAGGGTTTAAAAGAGGTGGTGGTCTCTCCCCTGCTGAAGAAACCAGACTTAGATTGTTCAGTTCCCTCCAGTTACCGCCCAGTTTCGAATCTCTCATTCCTGGGCAAGGTTATTGAGAGGGCAGCAGCGGAGCAGTTGCAGCAATTCCTAGACAACACAGCCGAACTAGATCCTTTCCAGTCCGGCTTCCGTGCAGGGCATGGGACAGAGACTGTGCTGGTCTCCATCACAGATCACCTTCGATGCCAGCTTGACCAGGGTGGGTCAGCGCTGCTTGTGTTATTGGATCTCACAGCAGCATTTGACACAGTTGACTACAATCTTTTGACCCACCGCCTTGCTGCTGTTGGAGTCAGGGGGACAGCTTTAAATTGGCTGTGTTCCTTTCTTCACAACCATGGGCAGCGAGTGGAGAGGGGAGGCCTGGTCTCTGAGAGGTCCCCTCTATCTTGTGGGGTTCCTCAGGGGGCCATTCTCTCCCCTCTGTTGTTTAACATCTGTATGCAACCACTTGCTCAGGTCCGAGGTTTTGGGCTTGAGTGTTACCAGTATGCTGATGACACTCAGTATGCTGATGACACTAGTGCTGAAGATGGAAGGCCGACCGGACTCTGTACCTGATTATTTCCATCAGTGCCTCGAGGCCGTTACTGGATGGCTGCGTGCCAGCAGGTTGAGGGTGAATCCAGCAAAGACGGAGATCCTATGGCTGGGTCAACTGGGCAGTGGAGATATCCAGCTGCCTACCCTGGATGACGAGGCGCTACGCCCGTCATCATTGGTAAAGAGTCTTGGAGTCCTTTTGGACCCTCTGCTGACGATTGAGGCTGTTTGCAGAACTGCTTTTTTTCATCTGCGGCAGGCTAGACAGCTGGCCCCCTACTTGTCCAGGGACGACCTAGCTACGGTGATCCAGGCTACGGTCATCTCAAGACTGGACTACTGTAACGCCCTCTACATTGGCCTTCCTCTGTCGGTGATCTGGAAGCTCAAGTTGGTACAACATGCAGCTGCTCGGCTTCTTGCGGGAATTCCGATGAGATGCCACATAACACCAGTCTTACTACAGCTGCATTGGTTACCAATTGAGCACCGGATCACTTTCAAAGTGATGGTACTCACCTTTAAGGCCTTGCATGGTCTGGGGCTGATGTACCTGAGGGACCACCTCACCCCCTACCAACCCCAGAGATCCCTCCGTTCTGAGGACCAAGATCTATTGGAAATTCCCAGTGTCAAGACCTTGCGTCTAACAGCAACCAGACGCAGAGCCTTTACAGCAGTGGCATCATCACTCTGGAATACTCTGCCACCTGAAGTCCGTGCCTTGCGGGACTTATCAGCTTTCTGCAGGGCTTGAAAGACATACCTGTTTTGACAGGCCTTTGATTTTTGATATTACTGTTTTTAAATTGTTTTAGATTGTTTTTAAATTGTGTTAGATTTTAGCCATTCTTGTAAGCCGCTCCAAGTCCCAGGGGAGTGGCAGCATATAAGTTCAAAAAAAATGGATAGCAAATCTTCAAAGAAGTAGCAATGTTATTATATCTCAGGACTGAAATATAAAAGGGATCTTTATCAACAAAAATTAATATCATGTTGTTGTGACTTTTTATAAAAAATATCTTACTAAAATTGCTAAAATTGAAGGTAAAAATGACACAGACAAATGGTGCCAATGAATAAAAAGTGGACAAGGAGCAATGTGCCAGAAAGGTTCTAAAGTAATTTTAATTTTAGCCTTAAGTGCTGGAAAGGGCTTGAAAGCTGGGATCCACCAGAGAGCAAGAAAGGGCATCTTCAGTCTGAATCGGAGCTGCTACTGCTGGAGCTGCTTCCATGCTGAGAAGAGAAAACGGATTAAAGCATCTTAAAAACACTGGCAATTCCACTTGTTTCTGGATTTCAGTTATATTCTACCACCATGACCCCATTATTTAGCTTTTGTATTTTCAACCCTGAAGGAGCTGGGGGAGGTGACGGCCGACAGGGAGCTCTGGTGTGGGCTTGTCCATGAGGTCACGAATAGTTGGAAACAACTGAACTAATGAACAACAAATTTTCAACCCACTCTCCTAATTCATCTCCTCAATTTCTTTTCTACATCTCTCTTAGGACTTGGCTATACCAGCACTATCCACCACTGTAGCATGGTGGACCCTACCGTGTAACCTTTGTTCATATTGGGCTTGGTCCCCATGTAAGTTGCCCCAAGTCCCTTTGAGGAGGTAGAGGCAGGATATAAGAATAAAGTTGTAGTTGTTGTAGTTGTTACATGGCTTAGCCACCCAAATTAATTTAGCCTGGCTAGACCATCACCTTACCTTCCTTGTTGCCATCGCCAGTGTGAGATGGCCACAGGACTCCAATAGACCTCTCCTAGGAACTGCAGGAGCTCTTCACTAACATCAGCAGAGGCACAAGCATTTTTTCTTGCTCCCTGGGTGTATGTGTGCTTTTTCTAATGTCAGCACAGGGCACCCATGATGGTCAGGAGCTCTGAAGCCATCCAACAGCAGTCATGGGAGTGGGGCATGAACTCAATTAATTCTGTTTTCCTTGCACTGACCCTGGGCATCAGGTAGATAGCCAGAAACAACTTGTTGTGTGGCCAGTAGGCTTGTGCATGGATTTGGAGTGGTCACTTTCCTTCAGCCAATCCAACTTGTTCAGCTTGGCTGGATGGCCACAACAGTAAGGGCTCAGCCATCACTTATTTTCATCCATTTCAAGACCACCTGACAGCCAATCATGGCTCCTCCTCCCCTATTCAGAACCACATGGTGCAGAGAGGCTGCTGTGTCTTGCTCGCACAGAGTTTCCCTGTGAGCCTTGCCTGCCTGCCATGACATGTCTTATGCAAGCTGTGTCTATGGAAAGGATCCCAAAAAGGATTCTTCCTTAACCCAATTGCTCAAACCTAGACTCCCTTGAAAGGAAGAAATGAAAGGATCCCAGGAATGGAAAGGGGAGCCCATTCTCGCCAAATGGGCTAGATCTTCCCGGATCTTTCAGCTGCAGACCAGAAATGGCTATTCAACAACCCACCCATTTTTGGGAGGCATGCAAAAACAGATCTGCGGATCTCCTGGAATTAAGCCAGCAGAAATAGATTGAGGTTCAGCCGAAATGCAAAAGTCTAGTGGACAGCATAGAGTAAACCAAAGTCTCATTTCCAAGGGAGATTGTTTCAAGAAAGAGGTAATATGTGGAAAAATCAGAATCCACTTTCCCCAAGTGCCTTGACACCTCAAAATCTTTGATCAGCCGCCCAGCAGGGAAGTGATCTGTTTTTGAGATAACCAATATGCTGCTCACCTTTTTGCCATGATGGCCATGGCCATGGCCATGACCATGACCATGACCATGCTTGTGCTTCTTGTGCTTCTTGTGATGCCCATGATGACTTCCAGGAGAGTGGCAGCCTGGTGGCTGAGTTGGAGGGCATCCAGGTCCTCCTGGGAGCATTCCAGGTGGACCAGGAGGAGGAGGATGGTGCCCATGGTGGTGTGACCCTTGAGGAGGGGGCCCATATGGGCCAGGGTATCCAGTGGGTGGAGGATGCTGACCAGGCTGCGTGCCTGGCCCAGGATAAGGTCCAGGGTATGGACCAGGAGGACAAGGCTGCTGAGGTGGCATTCCTACCAGAAGACAAAATGAACACAAAGACATACAAGACCTTGTATAGTTACTGCATTCTCCAGATTTGAGAGCATCATAGAGCTAGAAGTTGCCCCATAGGTCATTCATGTTGCTCAGATATGGTTGTTTGAAGGCCACTGTTTCAGGCAATGGATGGAATAACACCTCACTGGAAGGGGATGGGGGGGATAAAATTATACTACCCTTGGACATGTTGGCATGCTGAAACATGGCAATGTACTTTCTACTGATGCAACAGCCTGCCCAAGAAGGACTTTTGCTGTTTGCTCTGTCACAATAGCAAATTTTACCTTGGTTAGTATTCCACATATCCGATGCGGAGTTTCGTCCTGCAATGAATGATTAAAACTTAGTTAGAAGTGTCATGCTTCTTCCCTTCCTCTCATGAAGTTCTCTTTCTAACTAAGGTTTGTCAACATTTTTCTGGAGAAGTTCTGTGCCTTTCATCGACACCTGATGTTCTGTGAAATCTATGCTTTGACATTAGTGTTTATAAAAACTCTGTATTTGGTGGGGCATATTTGTGTGAGAAAAGGAGAAAATAATTCAGATTATATTTAGATGACTCTTCAGTACATTGGCCAGCCCTGTACATTCCTACCGGTAACTGCATAGCTATCAGTATGAATATTGTTTAAAGGTGAGAAAGAATTAAATGTTGCCGAGCAATATCTGGCAGAGCTTCAGCCTCTATTCGGTGTGCATGGGGTAGATTTAAACTATATTCATTGACTATGAGCAAAAATGGACATGATAACTGGGATTTTCGCATTACTCTAATTCACCAAATTAACCAAAAGAAATCTGATTCAATTATGTTTGTTTCAAAAGAAGTATAATTTAAACAGTTAATTTTAGATGAGCATTTGCCTTTATTATATCACTACATGACAACCTGTATGACAATGAAGTGACAAAAATTCCCATGCATGATGTTAATCTTCCATGCTTTCTTATTTTGAGCTTTGGAGAGAGGAAAATTCCTCTATGAAATTCCTCTATGAACCTTTCTCACTGGTTCCACCAAAAACCGTTTTTTTTCTTGCTAAAAAAGAAAGATGTTGTTTTGCAAAAAATTCAGGCATGTAGTCAGCTGAATAAACTAAAAATCATTGGATTTTCATACTGGTTTAATTCATTGCTGCATTTCTTAAAATCATAATACATTAAAGAATAGTTTATGCTGAAATTCCAACTTACATTTACATTGCTCCTTTTATTGCCAATATTAAATTTACTAGGTTCTTGTAGGGCCATGTTCTAGAGGCATTTCTCCTGACGTTTCGCCTGCATCTATGGCAAGCATCCTCAGAGGTAGTGAGGTGATATTAAATATTAAATTTAATTAGAAACTTAGTTAGGTTTAATTAGTTGGATTCTACCATATACTATTAAACATTTGATGAAAGCCATAACCTAATAATAAATAATGGGTTGTTGAATGTATACAAACCTCCAAAAAAAATGTGTGCACAAATCTGCCTTCAAGTCCCTTTTAGACTTATGATAACCCCCATAAATTTAAAGGGCTTCCTTAAGCAAGGAAGGTTCAGAGCTGGTTCTTCCTGTTCTTTCCTGTGAAATATACCCCACAATACCTGGTATTCTTTGCTGGTCTCCCATCCAAATACTAACTAAAGCTGACCTTGCTAAATGTCTAAGATCAGACAGACTCTGTTGTCTTTAAGGTTTCAAGAGTATTACTCTATATACGTGGGGTATAGTCTAGCTCTGCAGCTAAATTATGTTTTCTTCTTTGATATATCAACTACAAAGATACTAGCTTTTTATCCTTTGCTTTGCTTGCCACCCCTTGCCAAAATCATTAATGAAACCCACCCCTTTCCTCCCTAAGCTCACTATTTCTTTTTTAAAAAATTAAGCTGAAACATACATACAAAGCAAATAGTTCACAGTGTTTCTGCCGTCTTCCTTTCTGGATCACACAGTAAGTTTTCTTCACTTATATAAGTAGACCTGCAGCAAAGTCAGGCTTTCTTGCCAATGGGAGCCAACGGGAGCTGTCACTGTTATCAACCCATGATAACATGCACTTTTGTGGACTTTCCACCCTGGAGGTTTTTTTCTTGGTTTGTTTTTTTATATATATTTCAGGTTTGTCAACATTCTTTTAAAGCCAAGGCTCCACACCCAGACACCAAGGTCACCTGATGGGGTTGTAGGCTTGGTACACAATGACGGTGCAGACCAATCTGAGGCAACCATCCACCAAAAATGCTGCCTGTGGACATTTCCAGGTTTATCCAAAGAGACGTGACTTCACACACTGCACACCATTGGGCTTTGCCAGCTGTTGCCACCTCCACATCTACTTACTCTATCATGTTGGGGGAGTATTAGTTATCATTTGATGTAATGCAGTGGTTCTCAACCTGGGGGTCGGGACCCCTGGAGGGGTCGCGAAGGGGTGTCAGAGGGGTCGCCAAAGGCCATCAGAAAGCACAGTATTTTCTGTTGGTCATGGGGGTCTCTGTGTGGGAAGTTTGGCCCAATTCTATCATTGTTGGGGTTCAGAACGCTCCTTGATTGTAGGTGAACTATAAATCCCAGTAAGTACAGCTCCCAAATCTCAAGGTCTATTTTCCCCAAACCCCACGAGTGTTCACATTTGAACATATTGAGTATTTGTGCCAAGTTTGGTCCAGATCCATCATTGTTGGAGTCTAGAGTGCTCTGGATATAGGCGAACTTCAACTCCCAAACTCAAGGTCAATGCCCACTAAACCCTTCCAGTATTTTCTGTTGGTCATGGGAGTTCTGTGTGCCAACTTTGGTCCAATTCCATTGTTGGTGGGGTTCAGAATGCTCTTTGTTTACAGGTTAACTATAAATCCCAGCAACTACAACTTCCAAATGGCAAAATCAATCCCCCCGCCAACCCCACCAGTATTCAGATTTGGGCATACCGGGTATTTGTGCCAAATTTGCTCCAGTGAATGAAAATACATCCTGCAGATCATTATTTACATGGTGATTCATAATGTTAGGGTTATGGTTGGGGGTCACCACAACATGAGGAACTGTATTAAGGGGTCAGGGCATTAGGAAGGTTGAGAATCACTGATGTAATGGCACTCAGACTCTTCCAAAAGTTTTTAATATGGAGGCTTGGGACTTGCCTACATTGGCCACAAAACCCTAAGTGGGCCAGAGTTAGCTCCTGGATATCTACACAATGTCCAAGACTTCCAGTCCTTAGCAAAGAGCAAATTAATTGAACTGATTCAGCCCTAAGCTAAGGAAAGTGGAATGCCACAGAGTTTCAGGAAAACTCCAGAGGAGCTCTACACCCCAGACAGTATGGACAACAGATCAACCCCTATGTGAACTAGTTTGCTGTCCACATAGGCCAGTGTAACCATAAGCAAAGGGGGACAGATTGGGCCTTACCACTCAGCCACTGCTGTTGGGTGGCCATAGAGCTCCTGCTCATTATAAGTGCCTTGTGCTGACTTCACCTAATGTGTTTGCAAGACCAAGAGGGAGGATTGCCTCCTTCCTTCTCCCTGGACACATGGGCACTTCTGCTGATGTCATCACAAAGTTTCCAAGGGCCCTTCCAGACAGGCCCTATATCCCAGGATCTGATCCCAGGTTTTCTGTTTAGCCCAGATTAACTGGCAGTGCAGACTCATATAATCCAGTTTAAAACAGGAAACCTGGGATCAGATCCTGGGATATAGGACCTGCCTGGAAGGGCCCCACAGTGGCCAAGGAGCTTTCCTAGCAAATTGCATAAGATAATTATTGATATTAAGGGGAAAAAAATAAAGGACGTAATATTAAGAGAGATATGGGAGGAAGACCTAGGGATTAGAATAAAAGAAACGGATTGGGTACAATTATGGGATCAAAGATATGTAAAGAACTTATCGATACGTGTTAAAGAAAATTATTACAAATTGGTTTGGAAATGGTACTTAACACCAGTAAAGATTGCAAATAATAATAGGAATTCCACAAAAAATTGTTGGAGAGGTTGCCAGGAGGAGGGTACATATATACATATACACAAACAAGTCATGCCAGACTAATCTGATCTCTTTTTTCGATAGAGTTACAAGCTGGGTAGATGCGGGGAATGCCGTGGATGTAGCGTACCTGGATTTCAGTAAGGCCTTTGACAAGGTCCCCCATGATCTTCTGGCAAGGAAACTAGTCCAATGTGGACTAGGCAAAACTACGGTGAGGTGGATCTGTAATTGGTTAAATGGACAAACCCAGAGGGTGCTCACCAATGCTTCCTCTTCATCTTGGAAAGAAGTGACAAGCGGAGTGCCACAGGGTTCCGTCCTGGGCCCGGTCCTGTTCAACATCTTTATTAATGACTTAGATGAAGGGCTAGAAGGCAGATGCATCAAGTTTGCAGATGACACCAAATTGGGAGGAATAGCCAATACTCCAGAGGACAGGAGCAGGATTCAAAACGATCTTGACAGATTAGAGAGATGGGCCAAAACTAACAAAATGAAGTTCAACAGTGACAAATGCAAGATACTCCACTTAGGCAGAAAAATGAAATGCAAAGATACAGAATGGGGGACGCCTGGCTCGAGAGCAGTATGTGTGAAAAAGATCTTGGAGTCCTCGTGGACAACAAGTTAAACATGAGCAACAATGTGATGTGGCGGCCAAAAAAGCCAATGGGATTTTGGCCTGCATCAATAGGAGCATAGTGTCTAGATCTAGGGAAGTCATGCTACCCCTCTATTCTGCTTTGGTTAGACCACACCTGGAATATTGTGTCCAATTCTGGGCACCACAATTCAAGAGAGATATTGACAAGCTGGAATGTGTCCAGAGGAGGCGACTAAAATGATCAAGGGTCTGGAGAACAAGCCCTATTGGAGGCTTAAGGAGCTGGGCATGTTTAGCCTGAAGAAGAGAAGGCTGAGAGGAGATATGATAGCCATGTATAAATATGTGAGAGGAAGCCACAGGGAGGAGGGAGCAAGCTTGTTTTCTGCTTCCCTGGAGACTAGGACGCGGAACAATGGCTTCAAACTACAAAAAAGTAGTTTCCATCTGAACATGAGGAAGAACTTCCTGACTGTGAGAGCCGTTCAGCAGTGGAACTCTCTGCCCCGGAGTGTGGTGGAGGCTCCTTCTTTGGAAGCTTTTAAACAGAGGCTGGATGGCCATCTGTCAGGGGTGATTTGAATGCAATATTCCTGCTTCTTGGCAGGGGGTTGGACTGGATGGCCCATGAGGTCTCTTCCAACTCTTTGATTCTATGATTCTATGATTCTATGATTCTCCCAGCCAATCACAAGGGTTCTCCACATTTCCCCCAGGCTGCTTCTAAGCTTCGCTTCTACTAGGAAATAACTAACCTAAGACGGCTTTTGCCTCCAGGCAACATACAAAATGGCTGCCAAAAATGGGCCTTATTCCTGAGCTTATTCTGGCTTAAAAGGTAGGCAATTCATCACATCTGGCAACGTAATGCAGAGGGACTGACTTAGAATTTGGTTACCCCTGTGAACTACAGTGGCCTCAGGGAAACATGAAAGTACTTCCCCAGTCCAATATATTTTATAACTTTCCGGGGAAAGTTAAAGATCTCATACACAAGGGTAGCTGGAATTCATCCTTTCCTAGTTATATTACTAATGCTTGTAGGTAGGAAATTACATTCAGACCAAAGTGTCAGGGAGAACTTTGAATGCCAGGCACCTCTGAAAAGGCATTATTCTAATTGGAAATAGGTAATTTTTAAATACTTTTTCAAAGAAATACTGATTATGAAAACTTTGCTTGTACCTTTCTGTGTTGTACTGTAGTGACTCTAAACCACAAAGGTTTGTGAACTGAATCAATGACTTTAATGTCTAACTCTGCCTGGCTGTATTCATGGCTGTGTCTCCTTTCCTGGATGCAATATCAGCAAATATGTAAACAGACAAAAAAGAGGGAATTATTTATTTATTTATTTATTTATTTATTTACTTTGCTTATATACCGCTGTTCTCAGCCCGGGGCGACTCACAGCGGTGTACAACATAGAAGAACAAAATTCAAGACACAGTATAAAACAATTCACAATCCAACATTATACAAAACATCGTCATTACTACAAAAACCATTCAGTGTCGTCTCATCGTCCAAACCACAATCCAGTATCATTTTCCGTTGTTCCATTCCTATAGTCATTACCAATTATTGCACTTCTTGTTCGAACGCCTTCTTGAACAACCAAGTCTTTAATTTCCTGCGGAATATCATCAGGGAAGGAGCCAGTCTGATGTCCACGGGAAGGGTGTTCCACAGCCGAGGAGCCACCACCGAGAAGGCCCTATCTCTCGTCCCCACCAGCCGTGCTTGTGAAGCAGGCGGGATCGAGAGCAGGGCCTCCCCGGAAGATCTCAAAGTCCTGGTGGGCTCATAGGTCGAGATGCGGTCGGATAGGTATCTTGGGCCGGAACCGTTTAAGGCTTTATAGGCCAATGACAGCACCTTGAATTGAGCCCGGTAGCAAATCGGCAGCCAGTGGAGCTGGTACAACAAGGGCGTTGTATGCTCCCTGCGTCCCGCTCCTGTTAGTATCATAGCTGCCGCACGTTGGACCAATTGAAGCTTCCGGGCCGTCTTCAAAGGCAACCCCACGTAGAGAGTGTTGCAGTAGTCTAAACGGGATGTAACCAGAGCGTGGACTACCGTGGCCAAGTCAGACTTCCCAAGGTACGGGCGCAGCTGGCGCACGAGCCTAAGCTGTGCAAATGCTCCCCTGGTCACCGCTGAAACCTGGGGATCCAGGCTCAGCGATGAATCCAGGATCACACCCAAGCTGCGAACCTGCGCCTTCATGGGGAGTGCGACCCCATCCAGCACAGGCTGTAACCCTATGCCCTGTTCGGCCTTGCGACTGACCAGGAGTACCTCTGTCTTGTCTGGATTCAATTTCAATTTGTTCGCCCTCATCCGGACAAGCACCGGTTCAGGACCTGGACAGCCTCCTTAGTAGCAGGTGGAAAGGAGTGACAGAGTTGGACATCATCTGCGTACAGATGACACTCGTACCCCGAAACTCCGGATGACCTCTCCCCTTAAG